ATAGGAAGAATATCAGAAGCTTTGGAAGTCAGCTGTCCATAGCAGTCCAAACCTGTCAAAGTACCAGCACAATAACACTCGGCAAAATATCGTCCAAATATAATTTTCGACAAAATTCCAGAAAATATTGAGTTTTTTTTCTTCTCCATTATCGCACACCCCAATCTGATCCCAGAAAATAACATTTCTAAATGTACTTTTCCTTAATAGTAAGGAAAGGAGTGTAGGGAAAAATCTATTTACTAATGAATTCTGATGCTTGCTTGAATGGTTCTTAATCATAATTATTAAATACGTTCAATCTGCAGTCTCCTTTATACCAGTGGTTCTCAATTCCGTCAATAGCTATCTCTCTTATTTGACACTCATTATCCCGTGCTCAATTGTTGATCAATAGCTCTCCTACACAGCCAAAGATGTGTGCTGAGTGACAGTGACAAAGTTTAAGGCCATTGTGATGCAAACAGCAGAAGCCCCAGAGCCGACTCTGAATTTCTGAGAGAAGATATGCTCTGGTACAGCTTTTATATCGATTTTGTGCACCGAATTTAGCATCAACCCACTGCAACTTTCAAAGATTTGTGCTCCTATTCTGTTGAGCATCAGACGGCATCCGAGTTAGGCTTGCCGCGATAGATGGTGCTGACGGTGATACCGGTGTTATTGCCCACCGCGGCACCGACCCCCACCGTCGTTTTGATTTTTTATAGTAATAAAAATAATTTAGTTCAGTAAAAGAACAGCCACTACAATTTAAAAACAAGAAGAGTGGGGTGAGGCAGACAAGAAGAGTGGGGTGAGGCAGACAAGACGATCGCGGATTATTTAGTTTTGAAACGAGATGCAAAAGTGCCTGTTTAGCAATATTTTGGATTTTGAAAAGCCTGTTGTCTTTTGCTATTTTTCAAAGTGCTTTTGGAAGTTTTTTTAAACATTCGTTTCTTGTTTAATTGGTTCCACATTGTTTGCTGATTTTTACTTTATTTAAACTGTGTCATTTATTTATTTTATTTGACATTCGTTTTGCTAATAAACGTTCTACATTTCTTATTTATTTGGTTATATATTACACATTTACTTCCAGTTTTGTATACCTATTAAACTTTATGCAAGTTATTTGTTATTTTATATTAGGCATAGCTTGCCCTATAGCATGGTGTATTTTTATTTGTTTTGTTAATAAAAGTTCTATGTTTTATACATAGGCTAAAGTGAGTTTGACGTTGTATTTTGTTGTTGCATTCAAGCAATTGACGCAGAACTGCTGCTAATTCAAAAGTGAAATGCGCACGGCGCTTTTAAGCTATTTAAAGTGAAGGAAAGCGTGGAAAAGAGGGAAAATTTAAACAAACTAAAAACGAACAATTGCTTTACACCGAATTGCCGCTATTTTAAAGTGAAAGTAAAATGGGCACACCGCTTTTACAAGCTATTTAAAAGCGATGAAAAGAGGGAACGTCCCGCCCCCGCCCCCATGGGGATACCAGTATTACCGGTGTTGTCACACGTCGATTAACCGGTGGGAAAATTTCCTCACCGTCACAACCCTAATCAGAGTGAATCAAAACAGAATTGAATCATAAAGTTTTCCACCACTAATAAAAGTACAGCTTCTGTTTAAGAGGCTGAAACTCAGAATGTGTTTGTGATTTGAATGTTACATTTAGCTTTGCATGTGAGTATTATGGCTAAAGAAATGAGTCAATATTTTCCTCTCTATCAACAGGCTAAAGTGAATAACACCAGCCTTGTCGGTGTTGGTTATACTCAGACTCTGAGGCCAGGTACAGATATGAATTTCCTTTATTATTATTATTTACACTTGACAATTTAATAGTGAAAGGCATTGATTTATTTTCTTTTGTATCTCGCAATAGTTTATAGCTGGTAACATCATCTTGTCCACCACACAATATGATTCACTTTGGAGACTGATAAAATAGGGTGTTTTAGAAATACTTTATGAATCCTGACCCTTTAATAACTTTGTTTTCATGTAGACTTCTGCATTAATGTGGTTAGGATGCCGTAGAAGCTGCAGTGATTAAATTTGTGATGGTTTTTCAGGTGTCAAGTTGACCCTGTCGGCCCTAGTTGATGGAAAGAGCATCAATTCGGGGGGCCACAAGCTGGGCTTGGGCCTGGAGCTGGAGGCCTAAACCTGCTCCTGCTTACCATCAGGGACAAGGGAATATCAGAGAAATCTGGCCTTAAATCTAACTCCAACAGCAACCAGCAGGGGGATTCCAGATGGGATGGGATGTGTGCAAAGGCTCATCAGAAGCGATCATGTCATGGTGTTTCTTTTTGTCCCCTCCTGGTCCTAATGCCCTTGTTTGTTTTTCATTTGTAGTTGTTCTCTTATAGACATTCAGCTACAAATGAATTTCTCCATCTCTCTCCAGCACTGCCACAGTAATGATATACTCTCTGGGACAGAGGGCATGTGTGGCTTTCTGTTGTGTTCCCTTCTCAGTTAGCCGAGGGTGGATTTGTGACAAAACTGTCTCTGATTTCATCATTTGTATTGTATCTGATATTCCTTAGTTATCTGAATGCGATTCAAGCAACCACTTAACTCGATATTAAAGGTTATACCTGCTATTATTTAAATACTGTTATACCGTTTTCTTCTTTCCATGCACGCAAGGACAAGCTTAAGCAGTTTATTTTTCCTTCAGCAGCCATCCAGAGTAACCGTTATACATGAAGTCTACCCTCGAACTGAGCAGTTTTTGGGTAGCCTAATTGGGAGATGAACGCTGGTGTTCCTGTGCTGGCATGGCTGGCCTTTCATTTTCGTTTGCAGCACAGACGACTATCCGTGGCTCACCGTGATGGCGGAACGGGTCTTGTGGATGTGGTTTGAGTTCAGTACCCTTTGCTCCCTGTGTTGAGTTATGGCCCTAATTCTCTGACACCATGCATTCACAACACCTGAGAGGTCCTTATGTGTATGTTTGAACTTTTCAATAAACTATTTGAATTCATCTGTGATATAGTTTTTGTGGCTTACAAAGCAAATTGGTCCTCATAGCTGAAAAATTAATTATACCCAAAATTGAGGAAAAACTGTGCTTAATGTAAATACTCTTACACAGCTAAATTAACAGGCTTATTCCCATTAAATGGGGGGGGGGGAACTGAGTCCGGAACGCTGCTTATGCTATTTTTCATGGTTGTTTCAACTTTAAATGAGTCTGACCTATAGAAGTTTAAAAGAGTTGATTAAAATGCATGTTTGTTGACCTGATGACCTGTTTGAGTGGAAACATAGTCATTAAAAGTAGAATGTACTCCGCAGTTTTAAATTTCTGTGTAATTAGGCCAGCAAGGACAAGTTGTTTTATTATGGTTTAATGCAGCGCAGCTTTCATTTAATGTGGGTTCACTGTTAATGCATGAAATCGCACTTCTGCTATTATGCATTTGGAAAAATGTTCAATTTGCTTTATCACCGTGTCATCAAATATCTATGCAGTTTGTGGTAATAATTTTTTTTTTAAATTACTCTTTTATTAGATTGATAAAAATGGTGTGGTCTTGGGTCACTATCTACACTACCGTTTACAATTTGGATGTTGGTAGGACTTTTTAATGTTCTTGAAAACTTATAAATATAAACCTATTTTAAAACTTTTTTTTTTCCCTGTGATTGCAAGGCAGAATTTTTAGCAGCCATTACCTGTCTTGCTGATTTTCTGCTTAAGGAACTTTATCAATGTTGAAATCAGTCATGCAGCTTATTGTTTTTGTGGCAGCGGTGACATGTATTTCAACATTCATTCTTAAATGAATAGAAAATGCAAAAGAATAGCATTTATTCTTTTGTAACATTATACATTTCTATACCAGTGGTTCTTAAGCTTACTCATGGGGACCCCTGCTCTTCACATTTTGCATGTCTCTCTTATTTGACACACCTGATTCAGATCATCAGCTTGTTAGGAGAGAGCTCCATGAACTGAACTGGGTGCTTTGCTGTACAAAAGCATCAAGTTCTTCCAAAACGATCCTACCAACCCCAAACATTGAACTGTGCTATGTGCGATGTGAAACCTTGTATCCTGCAGCAAAACCACTGAGAGCCACTACTCTACCTGGTGCCAAACTAGCATCAGCATCCAGCACTGGGACAGGATTTGGTAAAGTGGATGTTTTTTTTTTGTATCAGTTTAGCTCAAGATTATGTATTTTACCCTAATAAACATTGAAATATAATAGAAATATTGAACAGTCGCAGGGTTTTTCTGGGTACAGAATATTTAAGTGATTTCCTAGGAAACATACAATAAATACCTTGTAATCATTTATAGATGAACCATATTGTTTAAGCTTATGCAATTACTGCTTAGCAAAACTCAATTCTGTAGTTCCGCCACTACTCTACCTGGTGCCAAACTAGCATCAGCATCCAGCACTGGGACAGGATTTGGTAAAGTGGATGTTTTTTTTTGTATCAGTTTAGCTCAAGATTATGTATTTTACCCTAATAAACATTGAAATATAATAGAAATATTGAACAGTCGCAGGGTTTTTCTGGGTACAGAATATTTAAGTGATTTCCTAGGAAACATACAATAAATACCTTGTAATCATTTATAGATGAATCACTGCCATATTGTTTAAGCTTATGCAATTACTGCTTAGCAAAACTCAATTCTGTAGTTCTTCTGTAGGAAAAGCTCTTGAATTAGCATACGGACAAACTGATATGCTGGAATATTTATTCAGTTACTGTAATGTATAGCACTGTTTTAATACATACATTTGGCTGATCAGAGCAAGGGATGTAGCAAAATTAAATTTTATACATTCCTCATAATTCACATTCATTATGTACACAGTGTAAGCATGCATCTTGCATCAGAAACCTAACACTTCCAGAAAGCAGTTTCTAAAAGTCATGCTCAACTGAGATGGTCTGTCACGCGGATGTAATTTATTTGTCAAGGTTGCTATTTGAACATTCTCTATTCTCAAAGGCATTTTAATCAATATTTTCTGCTGTTTATATTCTACTTTACACTAGAGGGTTTAGTTGTTTCTTCTGGACCTTTGGTGTCCACGTTGTCCTCCATGCTGCTGTCTTTGACTTGCTCTGTCTTCTCCAGAGCTTTAGCTTCTGTTTTGGTTGACGTCTCAGATTTTGCAGCCTTCACTTCATGTGCACCGCTGTCTGATTCTTTGTCTTTTTGGACAGTTTCTTCACTTTTAACATCTTTGCTGGTTCCACTGCCTTTGGTCATCACACTATCCACCTCTTCAGCTTTTTCAGGCATCTCTTTGCTTTCTTTAATATCCTTTTGCTCAGGCTTTGCATCAGATGTTGTTTCCTGGGCTTTGGGGGGTTGATTACTCGGTGTTTCATCAACCTGTTTCTCTGTGACTTCAGCTTCCCCTCCGCTTGTTGTCACACTTTCAGCACTGCTATCACTTTTGCTGTTTTCCTGTCTCTTTGACTTCTCAGGTGATTTTTCTTCCTCAACTTTGGAGAGGTCCTCCTGTGTCTTTTCTGTTTCTTTAGGCTTAGCATGTTCACCCTTTTCTGTTTTGATACTGTCTACGCTGTCACTTTTGCGAGCTTCCTGTATCTGAGACTTTTCATGTTGTGATTTTTCTTCTGCATCTTTTGAAGGTTCTTCTTGTGTCTTTTCTGCTTCTTTAGGCTTCGCATGTTCAGCCTTTTCTGTTTTTACACTGTCACTTTTTTGGTCATCCGTTATCTGTGACTTCTCAGGTAGTGATTTTTCTTCCACAACTTTGGAAGTTTCTTCTTGTGTCTTTTCGGTTTCTTTTAGCTTGCCAGTTTCACCCTTTTCAATTGTCACACTTTCTAGACTGCTACTGCTTGTGCTGTCCTCCTGTTTCTTTGACTTTTCAGGTTGTGATTGTTCTTCTGCATCCTTTGAAACCTCTTTTTGTGTCTTTTCTGGTTCTTCAGCCTTAATATTTTCACCTTTTCCTGTTTTCACATTGTCTACCAGTTCAGCTTTGCTATCTTCTACAGACTCCTCAGGTTTGTGTTCCTTTTCGTCTTTACCTGACATATCCTCTTGTTTTTCCCCCACAGGTTTCTCTGTTAGTTTGTTGTTATCCTCTTGGTCTTTTTCCATAGGCCCATAGGCTTTCTTAGTTTCTTCCTTCATACTGTCAGATTTGTCATTTTTTGCAGAAGTATCCTCCTTTGCGTCCTCTCCAGTAGTCTGTTTTCCACTCTCAGCATGTTCGGGAGTTGCTTGTTTATCTGGTTTGGGAGTATCTTCCTCTACAGGTTTCACTGGAGCTGATTCTTTCTCTGTTGTAGATTCTTGAGATGAGACTTTAGCATCTTCAGTTTTTGGAGAGGTTACCCCAACAGTCTCTTCACCAGGCTTAGTGTTTACTTCCGTTGTTGCTTCAGGATCTTGCGGTTCCTGAGATGGTTTGTCTTTTTCTCCAGTTTTTGATTCCTCTGGCATTTCTTGCTTTTCTGACAGATCTGGTTTGGGGACATCTTTCTCTGTCTCTTTAGCTTGTTTATTTTCCTCTTCAGGTTCTTCTACTTTTCCCTGCATGTCATCCTTCAGGTCTTTGTGCTCCGTGCCTTTTGTGTCTAATTCCTCATCTTTATCTTGTTCATCAGTGGCTTCTTCTGTAGATTCCTGAGTTGGTTTAGAGTCAGCATCTTTTTGTACCTCAGAATCATCTGGAGTTTTTTCAGCTGGCTCATCCTCTTTATCATCACTTGGTTTGACTTCATTTTCCTCTGTTTCTAACTCAGGACTGGCTTCATTGCCTTCATTGGCTGGTTCTTCAGTATCTTCCGCCTCTTGTGGAGTTTCACCCTGTGCATCCTTCTCACTGCTCTCCTCATCTGGTCTGTCACCCTCTCTCCCCTCCCCACTCTTATCCGAGCCAGTGTCTGATATCTCCACATCTTCTCTGGTGGTCTCTGTAATAATCTCTTCGACAAATTTGTACTGAGGCTCTGCTTTTCGAGTTGCTCCCCCCTGGAGAGTATAGATGGGTGACTGTCTGTAAATGTGTGGTACTGAAATATGAGCATCTGAGATTGTAGAGTACCTTGACTCTTCACCCTCCAAAAGTTTTCTGAAAAATAAAAATAAAATAAAACTGAATAATTTTCAGATTAATTAATCTCAATTTGTGACAACCGGTGTATTTTAAATCCAGGCCTAAGAAACTATATAAATAGAAGATACATGTTTTTTTTACAACATTCATTACAGTGCAGTCACAGCCAAATTACAGTAATACTATAATTTGGCTGTGACAACACTGTAATGAAATGTGTCCTATTTATTGTTTCTTAATGCAGAGGCTACTGACATTTCCAAAAACTCCCACAAGCCTAAACAGACATCAAAGCCACCAACCAAATCATGAAATGACACTCAATTTTGTTAAAACTCATTGTAATCAATCAACAAATTAACTGTCATTAAAAAGCACTTAGTATTGATTATTTGACATTCAAATGAGCCTAACTGTCCTGTTTAATAAATACCACAATCATGTAAAACTTTGGAAAGCTTTGTTCACTCTCTAATTACTTGTGTCACTTAATACATGATTGCGTTCCTTGAAGGCCTCTACGATAATATTATCTGCAAGACTACACCTTCCAGGCAGTTTGGTTAGCTGATTAAGCTGACAATCGATTCATTTGCACTGTTGAGGGACTCACAATAAATAAATTCTGATTGGATAAACACTACTTGCCAAGCGGACCGAATCAGGGATGGAAAGCAACTGATAATACATAATCAAATAAAGATAAGAGATTTTTTAAATACCTGTTAAGAAGGCTTTGCTGGTCCTGAGAGTTCATTATTAAGTGAACAGTAAAATGGTGTGTAATCAAAGAAGTACCTGTAGGAATAAATTTCAGCATCCAGTGCCATTTTGACATTGAGAAGGTCCTGGTACTCCCTCAGATGACTGCTCATGTCATATTTAGCATTTTTCAGCTCAGATTCCAACTCTCTGATTGTGTCCTGCACCATGGACAAAATAAGTAAAATGCATAAGAAACAAAAGCCACATAACATGGTACTGAATCTTAGATTATGTAGGATTGGCGTATAAAGTACTCAATTTGCTACTTAATCTTGATTTAAACAGAAATGTTCAATCAAATCCTCAAACTGAATTATTAAAATGTTCTAGGCTGAACAGTGCATCACATGGTGTGTTACCTGGTAGTGATGGATTTCAGCATTGTGCCGTTGCTCGAGGTCATACAGCTGCCTCTCCAGCGCTTCTCTCACACCTTTCACAGAGTCGAGCTCAATGTTCCTGGACTGGAGCTGTCTCCTGTGTTCATTAATCTCTGCTTTAGTGGTCATGAGCGCTTCTCTGTTGACCTCAGCAGCTTTGGTCAGTTTAGCGAGCTGTGCTCGAAAGCGTTCCTCAGCATCTCGGATGTCAGAGTCGGTGTGACCTTCAAGTTGCATCCTGATGTCTCTCAGAGCTGCAGTGACATCACTTCTACTAAAATCACTCATTTCTGCTGTCACATGACCCTCTTGGATTTGGGCCATCATTTCGGCTACCTCACTTTCGTGATTTTTCTTCAAGAAGCCGATCTCCTCTTCGAGAGCTTTAGCTTTTCTGTCCATCTCTTGTTTGGTTAGATATGCGTCATTAATGCATTTCTTTAGTACTGAAATGCTGTCCTCCACATCCCCTCGACCACGAGCCTCTCTCTCATACTTTTCTCTCAAAGTGTTAAACTCTTCCTCCAGGTTCTGGCGGTTCTCATCTGAATTGTAATTTCTGTAATGTCAGCATTGAGTCTATTGATCATCTTTTTTTCAAATGCCCCCTTGTTAAGGAATTTTGGTCTGACGTGTCAATTATTTTCTTCAAAATCTAATGTAGACATTGATGTTACTATGTGTGATACATTTTGTTATTTTTCTCATTGTAAACATTCCATAGAATATATAGGAAATGTATTTAGTTTATTGGGAAAATATTATATTCATAAATGTAAATTTTCTTCAACATCTCCAAAATTACATAATTTTCTTTGTGACTTTAACTACTTAATTATAACACTAAAAAATATTAATACCAAAAAAAGTGTAAAATTTGTGAAACTGTATAATGATCTGCTGAATGGTACATAATTCTTGATTTACTACCTCTGTATTTTTTGTTTCATCTATGTATTCTTGTTTATTTTTTATTATAATTTTTTTTCTCTCTTCTTTGTCTTCCTATATAATTTCTGTATTCATAATGTCATCCAATGTTACATTAATTGTGAAGTGTTTATACTTGCAATAAAAAAAATTCCATCTTGTATTCTTGTATTCAAAAAATATTTTGTTCAGTACGTTAGCGAAGCTAGAGTACATATATGTTGTAAAATGTACAGAAAATGCACCCTTAATGTCATGTATTTCATTATCAAATTAAGAAATTTAGAAGAAAAAAAATCCCGTAAATATTACTTTTTGTAGTAATGTAGGAATTAGTTAAGTACTAATAACAGTTATTAATTTTTGTACTTATTGATTTTTTTTTTACATATCATGAGTTTGCACAGTATGACTCCCCCTTATTAAAATAATGTATGTATAGGCTATAATTAGCCTGCATAAAAATATAATGACATCATCATCATCCTCCCTTTCAGGGTTTGAACTCCTGAAACACAAGTACACCCCCCCCCCCAAATCATACAAAATCATATTATCAGAAGAGGACCATCTGTCAACCCTGCTACCATGTGTACAGAAATATCAGCATTAAAATCTCCTTATGTCAAACTCCTTATAGTGTCAGGACCTTCTGCACAAGGTTATCAATGGCTAAATGAACCGTAAAGCCATTTTACATTTAAAAAGACATAGCTAGGCCTTCTATTACCTTGACTTGGTCATACTTTAGTTTGGTGAACAGTTCGCACATTTAACTAACTACTAACTATGACTTTTGCCTCTATAAACTTGATACATATTAATAGTTATGTTTAGGTATGGGGTAGGATTAAAGGATCTAAAATATGATCATGTAAAATAAGGAATTAATATGTGCTTTTTAAGTACTAATAAACAGCCAGTAATAAGCATGCAAATAAGCAAGTGAGAATTGGTCCCTAAACGTAAGAGTTACTGTAAACTTATATTAACGATGTAATAGCCTGTGGCTTGAGATGGCAATTTGTCTGTTAAGGCATCAGTTGAGTTAAGGCTGCTCTGTGCCTGCTCAAAATTCTGTGTAAAGACACAATGTTGCATAAGTCATACTAAATTATGCCTGCTCTGACCCAACTCAGCCCCTATAATATCAAAGTATATGGTTATCATTGCTGTGTAAATGGATTTATGCCATCTCTGAGCAGCATTATCAGTATCATAAACAGAGTAAATTTGGAATTAGAATATTTAAAAAAAAAATGTAAGGGGGTCTGAATACTTTCCGTACCCACTGTATGTTCCTTTTAAAGTTGTTTTCTTATATTTTTGGAGATGCACTATTGTTGTCTGTTAAGGTATTGTTGTTATGGTTTAAAAATCTATATTCCAGCAAGCTCAGGAAAATGTTGTATACTGTAGGGTATGTGATTTTCAGCAGAACTGTGACTGCTTTTAATCTATGTTGGTGTTATTTAACAATATTACCGTTTCCTCATATTGTCAAATTTGCAGATATTTTACTGCAGTAGCAACATTCTTCAAGCTATAATGTACATGTTTGTGCTGCAGAAAAGCACAAGTCAGCTCTACACTTTCAGTCATGCTGAGCGGTCACTGTGAGCTGGATTCAATCCAACAGCACAGCGTCTACATGAGCAGCCAATAACAACATACGCACCACACGTCTGCCTTCTCATGTGAGTGCATCTAAATATGTACTTTAAATTTACTGTATAACACGTTATTTATATAGTCTGACACCATTAGTACTTGCTTATATTTAGCATATTTTTCATTTTGGTATGTCCCCTTTTTGCTTTAATGACAGCAGAATTAACTGGAATAGATATAGAAAGGAGGCTCTGCTTACTGATGAGGAAAACAAAATCTGATATCTGAACCTAGAATACTAGCAATTTAGCTTGTATTCACCCAGCTTGTACTGATCTAAATGTGCATGTCTGTTTTAAATAAAAACTATAAAGAAAACAAGCCACTAAAAATAAAGATGCTGCACTCCGACCAGGTGTCATGTTATAATTCTTTGTATTTCATATGTTTAAACAACTAAAACCACTGATAATGTTCAATATTTCCTTCAGGTCAGACACATACAGTCAGCTGTGCATCATAAAGTGGAATAAAGAAAAATAAATCTCATCATAAAAAAACTGCATGTGAAAATTTGTAATTTTATTAAATGTGTGTACAAATTGAGGCTTAACTGATCAAATACACTTGAAAAGACATACTGTAAATACTACATTGTCATAATGTTTATAATAAACAGATTATATCAAAATAATTTGTAATATATTATATTTAACTCCGCTAACACTCAGTAGATCAAAAAGGAAAAAGTATTGCTAAATTCATTACATGAGTGAAGATTATGACTGGAACTTGAACAGAGATTTAATTATTCTCTTTTAATCATCTTTGTTCTCTGTTCTAAAGGAATGAAAGAACGTCCGGATCCCATATGTGTCCCGTCTGTCATTCTGAAGGATTTTTCTCAGTCTGTTTCTGCATGTGATCCATTCGGTGGACACTCGCCCCAGCATCATTCCTTGTTTGTAGTGCTCAACCGCAGCTTTCTCTGAGCCCCACCTGTACTGTTTGAAATCCCCATACATGCGATGCCAGGCCTGACGATCAGCTGGCTTCAGGTCAGGAAGGGCAAACAGCTCAGTGAACTTCTGCTCTGCTTTAGCCATCTGCTTTCGTTCTGCATACCTCTGCGCTAACTCCAGCTGTGGGTATATGTAGCCTGGGTTTAAACTGGCACCCTTCTCTAAATGCTGAATGCAAAGGCCCAGCAGCTCCGGATTGTGTGTGTCATTCATTGATTTTCAGCAGAACTGTGACTGCTTTTAATCTATGTTGGTGTTATTTAACAATATTACCGTTTCCTCATATTGTCAAATTTGCAGATATTTTACTGCAGTAGCAACATTCTTCAAGCTATAATGTGCATGTTTGTGCTGCAGAAAAGCACAAGTCAGCTCTACACTTTCAGTCATGCTGAGCGGTCACTGTGAGCTGGATTCAATCCAACAGCACAGCGTCTACATGAGCAGCCAATAACAACATACGCACCACACGTCTGCCTTCTCATGTGAGTGCATCTAAATATGTACTTTAAATTTACTGTATAACACGTTATTTATATAGTCTGACACCATTAGTACTTGCTTATATTTAGCATATTTTTCATTTTGGTATGTCCCCTTTTTGCTTTAATGACAGCAGAATTAACTGGAATAGATATAGAAAGGAGGCTCTGCTTACTGATGAGGAAAACAAAATCTGATATCTGAACCTAGAATACTAGCAATTTAGCTTGTATTCACCCAGCTTGTACTGATCTAAATGTGCATGTCTGTTTTAAATAAAAACTATAAAGAAAACAAGCCACTAAAAATAAAGATGCTGCACTCCGACCAGGTGTCATGTTATAATTCTTTGTATTTCATATGTTTAAACAACTAAAACCACTGATAATGTTCAATATTTCCTTCAGGTCAGACACATACAGTCAGCTGTGCATCATAAAGTGGAATAAAGAAAAATAAATCTCATCATAAAAAAACTGCATGTGAAAATTTGTAATTTTATTAAATGTGTGTACAAATTGAGGCTTAACTGATCAAATACACTTGAAAAGACATACTGTAAATACTACATTGTCATAATGTTTATAATAAACAGATTATATCAAAATAATTTGTAATATATTATATTTAACTCCGCTAACACTCAGTAGATCAAAAAGGAAAAAGTATTGCTAAATTCATTACATGAGTGAAGATTATGACTGGAACTTGAACAGAGATTTAATTATTCTCTTTTAATCATCTTTGTTCTCTGTTCTAAAGGAATGAAAGAACGTCCGGATCCCATATGTGTCCCGTCTGTCATTCTGAAGGATTTTTCTCAGTCTGTTTCTGCATGTGATCCATTCGGTGGACACTCGCCCCAGCATCATTCCTTGTTTGTAGTGCTCAACCGCAGCTTTCTCTGAGCCCCACCTGTACTGTTTGAAATCCCCATACATGCGATGCCAGGCCTGACGATCAGCTGGCTTCAGGTCAGGAAGGGCAAACAGCTCAGTGAACTTCTGCTCTGCTTTAGCCATCTGCTTTCGTTCTGCATACCTCTGCGCTAACTCCAGCTGTGGGTATATGTAGCCTGGGTTTAAACTGGCACCCTTCTCTAAATGCTGAATGCAAAGGCCCAGCAGCTCCGGATTGTGTGTGTCATTCATCTGCATGGCTTTCCAGCGGTAGTTGTTGGCAATCTCATGATGTAAACGTGACGAGTCTGGTGCTATCTTCAGCATTTCCAGCAACACTTTCAGGGACTTGTCATAACACTGCTCTTTCTTCATGAACTTTGCAACACGCAAAACAACGCTGAGGTTATCTGGAGCCATCGCGAGCGCTTGCGTCATGTACTGCCATGCCTCTGCGTTATTTAAAGTCTTCGTGTTCTTGTAGCACTTAAACCCCAGATACACATGGATCATCGCATTGTCCGGGTCCAGGTTCAGAGCTTTCTTCAACTGGAGCACAGCAGGAGACTCTTCAAACTGTACACGCTTGTATTGACCAATCTTCAGTCCCTCCAGACGGAACAGAGAAAAAGCAAAGCCTGTGTTCCATTCCTTGTCATCCGGCTCTTTCTGTAAAGCTTCAAGGAAACTCTCCTTGGCCCTGACGTAGGTCTTTCTAGAAAACTTGAGAAGCAACCAGGCTTTTTCACTTTGAACTTCTCTGTGAAGCTCTGCTGGAGACGGAGCAGGGAATGCTCTAAGGATTTCATTCACTTTCTCGATGTAAGTCTCCGCCTTAGTCACACTGCCCATGAGACTGTGCACCCAGGCCAAGTTTCCATACGTCACAATCACACTGCCGTCATCGTCCGGATGTTCCTTCTTTGCTAGTTGCAGGGTCTTAAGTGCCTCGTCGTCAAATCCTTGTAAATGTTTAATAAAAGCCAAAAAATTGAATTCTCTTTGTTTCAGGTTTCCTTCATACTCGCATTTCACTGCCAGTCTTTCACGAATTTTCACTTCGAGAAAATTAAGGTCAGCATCCTCCTTTTGCAAGTCCCAAGTAAAGTGGCAGGACAACAGTTTAAGCTTGTCCTCAGACATTCCTGTACTGTTAAAAAGGCAAAATAGATGTAAATGTTTACACTCTTGCAATTTTTCTGTCTCAGTTTCCTTGAGTCCGTACAATACACTATATTTGACTGACAACTTATTTTCAATAGGATTTACAGAAACAAACATTACATAATCAGTGAAATATCATTTCCATAAAGTGCGGTCTTAAATATTATTTAAAAAAAAAAAAATTTTTTCTTTAAATAATCAGTAAAATATAATTTCCTTAAAGTGCTTTCTTAAATATTCAAATTTTTTTGTAATCTTAATTAAAAAGTATTCTTTATTAAAAGCATTCACTGATATACAGTATCCTTTAATAGCAACAGTTTCTGCTTATTTTATTCACTTATTAAAAGAATTAGGTAACACTTTTTAAGGTGTTCTTGTTACATGTAATTACTAGGCTATTATAATAACTATAAATTATGCACAATTACTTGCAAGTAAACCTAAAACAAACCCTAATCCTAACCATATAGTAAGTACATGTAGTTAACTAATATTACTCAGTACTGAAATGTATAATTACACTGTAACAAGGACACTTTAAAATAAAGTGTAACCAGAATTA